TCCTTGATTGGTATAGAACCGGATCAGGGAAGCGATGGATACAGTTACAGCAGGGGTTTTCCCAAATCCCACTTGGGGGGCTTTTATGGCTGGAAAGGTCACATATTGTGGGTGCCAGTACTCATCTGCTTATTGGTACGACCCTGGATGACTTTAGATTGGATAGTCGTGGTCTTCTTTCGGATCAATATCCTTCTTTCCTGACTCCAGTTCTTGGTCACCCTGCATTGCCCATAGACTTGTCACATGGAGATCTCAAACCCCTAGTTCTGTCAGATTCCTACCCAGTCCATCATTTTTGGTCCTCTACTGGCTATAGTCTTCTGTCTGAAATAGGTTGCTGTACGGACCTTCAGCTTCCCTTTTGGAAGGCCCTACAGATTCGAAATTTTTTTACCCATTCCCTGGGACGATTGACAAACCTGTCTCCTGTCATGGCTTTTGAAAAACTGTGTCTGGATCCTGCTCCAATCTGACACAGTCTCTCTCTCACACATCATCTGCTGACTAACCTACCCGATCAATTTTCCCTGCCTTATCTAGCAAAATGGGAGAGGGATCTGGGGATCTCCTTTACTGATGAGCAGAAGTACAGGATACTGCAGATTACTTATAAGACATCCATATCTAGTAAGATCCAAGAAACAGGGTTTAAAATTATTTCACGCTGGTACAGAGACCCCAAGACATTACATAACATTTTCCCACAGTGCTCTGCTCTCTCCTGGAGATGTAAGGAACAGGAGAACTCTCTACTGCACATTTTTTGGTCGTGCCCTGTTCTTAAAGGATTTTGGGATCAGGTCATGGAGATCTGCTATAAATTGACGGGGGTCTCCCTTGGGGATGAGTTGGGAGCCTACCTTCTACACCTTGCACCACTATCCATCAAAAACATATTGCAGGTCCTTTCTGGTTCACTTGTTGAATGCAACTAATACATGAATCCCTTTGTGTTGGAAACCTATCACAGCTCCACTGATCAAGCTCTGGTGTAAAAAGAGTAATGATAATAGGGACATGGAAGACCTGCTGGCTTTGGCCAATCACAGGGACGACCGTTTCAGTAATCCTTGGTTTTATTGGCATGACTTTATGTATTCTCAGGAGTATGCTGAGCTGTGCACCTCTCCTTGAGGACCTTGAGGGTTCATCTTAATTAACTTGAATGGGGACCGACAGTCGGTATTGATGGTTGTGGAGCTGCAGGGTGGGTGAACTGGTGATATCCCCCTATCTATCCCTGTACCCGCCTCTTTTTCCCCTTTTCCTTCTCTCTCCCCTTCTCCCCTGTCTATCTTTTTTTTTCACCTTTGGGTGGAGTCTTTTGTTTTTCCTGTCTTGCACATCACCTTTTCCATTACGATAGACCTCACCCGGATGTTCAGCTTCTGCAGTACAGTGTGCTATCTCTAGCTATTATCTTTAGCTATTGCTAGTGGCGGGACATTACTGACACTCGTTCCAGGTCTGGGTTGGCGGTGTTTATTGTGCACCTTTTGATTGTACTTGTCTTCTTTCTATGTTGACTGTTTTTTTACGTCTTATTACATTGTTCAATTGTCAAAATGAAAATAAAGAGTTTTTTTTTAAAAATGCGTTTACTGTTAGACACAAGTATTGTTTTTTTTTAGATGTTTCCTATAACACATAACAGGAAATAAATGGCAGGTATGAATAAGACCCAGATGCTAAATTTAGTTCTAGCTTTAAACCCAAATGCTGGGCCTGGAACCCCTGTTATTAATTAGCAACATAAACAATACATGCAAATGTTCCTAAATAAAAGCTTTATTTAGATGCTTTTGCTGGTGCAATGAGGGTAAATAAATATTCCTTAGCGCATAGCCCAGAAGACAAGGAAGATCTTTCATATACCCCTGACGCTTATCATCCAAATGTTTGAAAACCAATTTTGTAATTTGCACACTACATAGCTAGGGAGATCTCTTAAGCTGCCCATACACCTTTTCGTATGCGATCGCATTTTCGTCCGATATTTGTACGGTTGATGGGCAGTGTACAACCGCAAATACTGTACAATCGATCGACTGTTGACTAACCAGCAGGTTAGAAAACTTCAGTCGATCGTATGATTTTCGCAAGGTTGGTGGCGTTTCTGTACGTCACAATTCGTATGATTGACACTGCTCTTGCGCAGACGAAAATATGTGCGGTCGATTACTGCAATTCGTCCAGGTGCTTTCTTTTAATTACTGCTGATTCAACCTTGCGATAATCGGGGCAGGACAGGGCCGCCGTATGAAAATCGAACAAAGCTTCGATCAGCGGACGAAAAAGTTTAGTCCGATGATCGCAAGGTATACGGGCAGCTTTAGTTTCCTGGTTCCCTTTTACTGACCAGCCAACATTCATTATTGCAATGAGCCAAGCCCCATATTGATGGGGTTATTCCAAATCTTTGAGTTTGACGCTAAAGTTTACAATGGGGGGAATTTATCAAAACTGGAGAAGCTGTGCATGGCAACCAATCAGCTTTCATTTTTAAATCTTAACTGAACAAACTGAAGAGAGAAGCTGGTTGGTTGCCATGCATAGCTGCTCCAGATTTTGTCTGTTCCAGTCATGATAAATTCCCCCCTATGTGTTCCTGGAACATAGAGAGCTCAGGAAGAGGTATATGCAGACACTTCTAGGATTCTTAATTCATAGTAACAGTTGATTTCATCTTTTTAGATACAAAAGCTGTTAGAGGATTCCTTCTTTAAAAGTGCATGATAGATCCTCCTTGAGGCTGACAGTTTTCTTATTTCTGTATATATTTTCAGCTTCAAGTGACACTAAACTCGGGAGTTAAATCTTAAAAATACCTATTAACAGAACAGCCACCGCTCCAAACTCGCTCCTGTGATGGACTACAATCTCACATTTAGGTCACTAATTTGTATTGAGATTATAGTTTATCATGGGAACGTGCATGGAGCGGTGGCTTATTTACAACACACACAGGAACCATGGGGAGCAAAAGTAGCCACCCTCCAGAAGGATGGACAGTGTCAGCACCAATTCATAGATCATTTAAGGATATACAGCAGAGTAATACACAAATAAGGTAAAGTATTGTCAATAGTTAGGGCAGTATTACACCATTTTCCAGACCTGATCTGGAACGCAGTGCATTGAGTTTTGCCACATTTTAAACGCAATTTTACAGCATTCCGGAACTTTTTTTTCCTTTTTTTTAGCCCAAAATAGGCTTTCAAGTGCGCTCCAGTACGTTTGCATGCATTTGTATGGGTTTTTGATGCGTTTCCATGCTTTCCAGTGCAATCCAGACCAGACAAAATGAGACATGCAGTATTTTTCTGGTCTGGTCTGGTGTAAACATAGGCCAGAAATAGCATACGGATACATTAAAATGCATTTTGGGTCTGGAAACAATCTGGTCTGGTCTGGAGATGATCTGGATGTGGTGTGAATGGGCCCTTAAACAACACTAGAAGATAATTGCATGTCTACAGACTCGAACATCATTACACAGTTGTGGTGTAACTGTAACAACATATAGAGAAGTATCACTGCAGCTCCAAAACTTCATTGTTACGGCCGGTTCACACAACAAAGTCTGCATTCCAGAGCGTTCGGCCTGAGTGCGATCACCTGCACCCAGAACGCAGGCATATTAGTGCCTGCGTTTTGGCCCAGTGCTATCTGCAAGCACTATTTTTGATCGCAATGGACCAAAATGGAGTCACTAATGTGCCTGCGTTCTGAGTGCGGGCAGCGGGCGTGGCTGCAGTGCCATTGACTTCAATGCACTGCGACACACTCCCTCTTCCCCTTGAACGCAGGGAGCCGGACGGCTTTCGTTCCAGAGGCCGAACGCAGACTTTGTGGTATGAGCCGGCCCTTAAAGGGTCGTTTTTTCTAAAAGAAGTGACTGGTAGGATAAGAAAGGCTTTTTATATTTACTGAAAACGTTGGCAGTGAGACATCCCTGACACAGATTCTAGCTCTATTCCCAGCCACATTGGCGTTTTTAGTGTCTGTTCTGTACATAATATACAGTCTAAAAAATCAACAAGAAGAAAGGGATTCTACCATGAAGGCAACAGCAGGTGTGCATACTACAGAAACCAAGCTCAGATACTTAAAACCAAAATAGCCATTTTAGGTAGAATGACCCATTAAAACACCTTGCCCGAAATTAAAACATGCAGATTAATTATTGGATATGCAACATATCTGCAATATCCATCTAGGCTATTGACCTTAAAGTAGAATTAAAGTCTGAATTTATTTTGCATATACTTACCTCTGTCTGCACCGCTCACTCCCGGCTGCACTACTCAGATCCGAAAGACCGTGCAGGGGGATGATGTGGGTGGGCGCATGCACAGGTCATGTCACCGGCAGGGAGAGGAGGAGAGTGTCAGTGAATGCACGCAGCCTGGAATGTGCACGTCGGACAGACTCCGTGTGACACAGAAGTTTGCGCTGGATGAGGGACCGGCACCAGCACTGGAGGGACTACTGAAAATGGGTAGAAGGAAGAAGATGATCACGGCAAGAGACATCACATAAGGTAAGTTTTAAAAGCAGAATTCCTGCTTGATTAGTTTCTGTTCCCATGAGTCAATAGCAATAAGTTTGGAAGACTTTTAGGTGGACATAAAAGTACCAGTCCATATTTGATGAATGCTGGAGAGTTTAATCTAGTGTTTTCTTTTGTAACTTGGGGACTCCGATAATGAGAAGTGCATGAATTCCCAGGCCTGCATTCCTGCTGCGGCCATAACTAGAGATCCCACTTCTCCTGTTGAGTTTTTCATTATGTATTATGGTGAAAGCAACAAAAGGATTGGGAATAGATGTTATTAAAGATGTAATCAAGTTTAGTGTTGATGAAAAATCTAGTAAAACATAAGAAATTGTGTTATTATATACTACATATGTTTTATTATAGCCTTTCACAGTAGTTCCCTAATATACTCTAGCATTGCGGGCCTATAATGCAATTTGCTTTTTTTTTTTCTTAGGATGTTTTTGAAGGAGTTGGCTCTTATGGGCGAGACACAAGAGCGAGAGAGAATCTTGGCTCATTTTTCCCAACGATACCATCAGTGCAACACTAACAGTATTTCATCTGAAGGTCAGTATTTGTTAAGTACAAACATGAGTGATGGCAGCAATGGTCTAGTGGTCCATCATGTCTGCTTCTTTTTTTTTTGCTATAGATTTACAGTATTGTGCAAAAGTTTTAGGCAGGTGTAAAAAAAAAAAAAAAAAAGCTTTAAAGGGGGAATTTGTTTATCAATTAACACAATGGAAAGTAAATTAACAAAAGACAAGCCAAATCAATATTTGGTTCGACCAACCTTTGCCTTCAAAACAGCATCAATTCCTCTATGTACACTTGCACACAGTTTATGAAGCAACTCGGCAGGTAGATTGTTCCATACATCTTGGAAAACTGACCACATATCGTCTGTGGATGTAGGCTGACTCAAATCCTTCTGTCTCTTTATGTAATCCCATGCCATTTTTCTGTGGCTTTGCAGACAAAAATCTATACCCCCCCCAAGGAATCCGGGCCTGGGTGTGGTGTCATGTAATGGGAAAGCTGTCGGCAGTGTTTTAGTAGTTAGCTGTTCTAATCAACCAAATAAGCGGGTGCAGACTGACTGGCTAAATAAGTCATGGATAATGATAAAGGTGACCATTATGTGGAAAGTGATTATGTCATGCTGTAGGCCTTTGCCGGTCCACCTTTACTGAGCCTAGAGATTTGCTTTAGGAGAATAGTCATTTAATTTTTTCCTTCATCAATAACAAAATGATGCATTTTAGTATTTTAAACTGTGTACATGGTTGCATTCTAATTAGAATTTGAGGGTTAGAGGCATTTTAGTCCCACATGTGGAAAATTTCTTTTTTTTCTTGAGCAGTAGAGATCTCTAGGGGTTAATACAGTTTTGTGCTCCTAGCAGAGCAAGACTGAGCAGATCATAATAATTTGTCATGTTAATTTAGTCCAGCCTTGCATGAAATATGTTCACATAGGCAGTAAATGTTCTCCCCGGCCAGTTCAGAGCAGCAAGCCAACTTAATGCGTGCTAATTTAGCTTCACGTTAGTTTTACAACTGTTATAACCCACAATATATCATGATGAAATCCAAAGATTTGTCTATTCAATTCAAAAGTTTTTATTCAAGGACAAAGGGGGCTACATATAACAAAGGTAGCTTTACTTATAGCAGCCAAGTTCCCTTGAATTTTCTAATCTGCACTGGAAAATTGGGGTGTGGGGGTTTAAAACTACTAGAGTGGGCAGCAGTCTTCAGCTGAAGGCTACAGGCAAGGGGCAGAATATTTTTAGATTCACACCACTTACTTTCTATCGGCTTGCTAAATGTCTTTCAGTAATTTATAGTTGGCCTTTAATCATTTTGATGTTGATTCTGGTGCTGGTTTGAGCAAATGTCAAAGTTGGTTGAAAGTAACTTCAAGCAGCTGATTAATGTACATGATGTGGAATCATTTTTCTGTGCCTTGGAAGAATAAAGGGTAGTAGGTACCGTGTTTCCCCAAAAATAAGACCTACCCCGAAAGTAAGGCCTAGCACTATTTTTCAAGATTCCTGTAATAAAAGACCTACTCGAAAATAAGACCTAGTTGGTGGTAGCATGTGAGGGGGAACTTGAAGAGCAGGAGAGATGGTATCAGCCTACAGGGACATACTGTATTAAAGGGATGACAGGGGACTCCCCTCGGCCAGCGCAGTGACCGGAGAGCACTCCAGTACCATACTTCACCAACTGCTGTCCCCCTGAAGGCACTGCTTAATGTAATGGTACTGTACTGTAATGTGTACTGGTAAATGGTACCGTACTTTACCACGCTGTCCACTGTCTGATGTCCACACTGCTGCACCGCTGGTACCGCTGTCCCTGATGGCAAAGGAAGCCGGCACTGCAGAAAGCAAGGCAGCGGAGGGAGCAGAGCCGCATTTGCCGATACTTCCTCTATATCGCCGGTTACTGTGACAGGTGGAATGATACCAGATGCACTCTGCCTGTGAAAGTGAAAGAAAAGGATCAGCATTACCGATACTGACCAGTAGGAAAAGAAAGAAAAAGCAACAGTATTATTCTCATTCTTACCATACCATTAAGGTCAGTAAATAGAACACAATGGACATTCTGACATTCTGAAGTGATTACCGTATTGCGCTGCTTTTACACTGATCCGCAGATGCAGCACTGTGTACCTGCAGGTTCATGAATAACTTTGGATTCTTGTACATTTTGTTGCACATTAAAAAACAAATAAGACATCCCCTGAAAATAAGACCTATTGTGTTTTTTTGGGGCAAAAAAATATAAGACAGTGTCTTATTTTTGGGGAAACACGGTAGTAAAGCAAAGCATTGAGGATGTCAAGTGCAATTGTCATCTGCACAGTGACGTTTCTTAAATTTTGCACACCTCTTCAATAAGATTGAACTGTTTGACTGTTCCAGCATGTGTGACTGAAGTCCCCAGTAACTGGCACCCTCAAAAATCTGCAGAAGATGCAGTTACATTAGCTTTATGTGTTCTCGAAAACCATCTACTGTAGCAAGGTCTCTCTGACTTGAAATCTATGGGAGACCTTCATTAATGCTAAGAATATATTTTTCCACTCTTCAGTTTTTCAGTTTTTACTCACCCAATTCTGCCATGTTTTCACAAATGTTGTTTTCTTATTTGTGATGATTGTGTAATCACTTATTTGTGATTATTTGTGTATGTTGGTAATATGGAAGAAAAGGAATGAATTTGGCCCCTGTAATTGCTGTTATGCATACATCCTTATTAATTTGGAAGCGGCGGAGTGGGATAAATGTATCTCCAAGCTATACAGAGGGTGATATGATGTTAACTAAGTAAATGTAGTTAAATGTAGTGGATTAGAAGGCAGTGACGTGTGGTACCTTCCCTGCTGGGTGAGGTATTCCCCCTGCCCGCCCCAGCGCCGCCCCCAACATGCCCCATCCCAGACCGCCGAAGCCACGCCCCCACCCAGTCACCAAGCTATGTGTGGAGGAGGAAGGGAGGAGACAGGGAGCAGCCTCCCTGTTACTCTCTTGCTCGTTACTGGTGAGGCATCAAGATCGATGTCCTCAGTGGTTTATGATTTCTTTTTTTTTTTGATTGGACAGCTTGGACCAATAGGACTTTGTATTGGTCCAAACCATCCACAAAGCTCAAGCCTCTAACATAGAGTAGAGGCTGTTGCAGCTGTTACTCATCAAAAATGCAATACAAACACGGCACAACACAGCGCACTACAGCTGCGCAGGCGCACGCAGTTCTGGTGTGAATTAGCCCTTATTCTCACCATTCACATTTCAGGGGAAGGTTTGTCCAATTTTTGGATTAAGCTTAATTACAGCTGAAATGCAATCATCTTTCATTTTCTTCCCTGGTCCCTCCACCCCCCTTCCTTTCAACGTGCTAGTGACATTTTTGAATAAACCTTTTCCGCTTCATTACATATTTTACTTTAGACCCAGTGATGTCATCATTGGGTCTTTGTGCTTTCCTATACAAAGGAGGCAGATCATAGCTGGTGGGAGGATCCAGCAGCGTGCTGTATTTTTTAGCTTCATGAAAACATCACAACACCCTGCTTCAGTACTCCTCTCAAGGGCCTTCAGCCTTAATGCGTGGAGTGGAGGAGTTATGCAAAAATTAAGATGTCTTGATGGGTAGGTGTCCATCTGGGGAAGTGAGAGCTTCTAGGCAGACCACATTTGCATGCAGACCACCCTGGGTAATGCCCACACGTGATGCTGGGTCTCCATGGTTGAAAGAACTTTCCCCAGCCAGATGGGCTCTATCAGACTTGCTGCAGCTTCTGTTGCACACTGTCAGAAGCTCACAGTGTGCTGGGAAATCTGAGTATGCATTTTAAGTACAGGGAAGGATCCGGTACAACGGTGCAAGACTGAAGGTAAGGCCGGAGTTCAGCTTTGTGCCTGGTAAAACCCACTTTGCATTATTAAGCTGATTATGGCATTCTGTGCGTTTTATAAAAATATACACTTTACAGAGGTGGTTTATTATGAACATAACACCTGCGAGGATACTGTTAAAATGAAGTGTACCTGATGTGGGAAGAATATATTGGTTTACCTAATGTGGTAAAAATACCATAGTGATTTCTAATATATGTGGGGGGGTTTTTTCTACTGTAATATTTAACATGTTCAGTATTTATCATTTTTGTGTGACTTTGAGGCAAAGCAGTGTTTTTTCAGAGCATACTGCAGATCAGTGTGAGTGGGAAGTATGTGAAGGAGAGGTGAAGAGACTGCGGTGATTGAAAGGACAACCAATAACAGCAGGAATTTTAGACCTTGATTTATGAATATCTGTGAGGCAAGTTAGCCCACTTTCTGACTCAGATGGTAACATGCGTACTGCACGGAGAAATGTCTTCTAGTGAGATATGAGCTATTCATAACTGTTAATTAAATGAATGGAATACACACAGATCCTGCCGATTAAAGTATACTGTATACGTTTAGCTGACAAAGTGCCCACCAAAGAGCCACAAATCGTGGTAATGGTGAGTTTTAACCAGTTAAAAACATTGACCTTCTTGAAGAATCTGATTGGAGGTACGTTGTTATTTTTTTTTTAACAATACATTTTTATTAAAGTTTAACAAGGAACAAAATCAGACAGAAATACAGTAACCAACAGTTTAAACATCCGTAAGAGGATTAACCTGACATCGCATACATATGTCTGTTTAAGGGAACATCAAATCAGGATACTTATAATAAGCATAGTCCTCAAATAGAAGAAAATAAAGTAGAATAAAGGGATTGAAGAGGAAAAGATGTAGAATAAAGTAAGAAGTGAGCAAGGATATAAAGAGGAAATCAAAGAATGAAGAAATAAAGAAAGTAAGAAACTGAGAAAGAGGCCAGCACGAAAGGACAATAATAAAGAAATTAGCAAATGACCCTCCACTATATCGGAATTAAGCAAAAGAAGAATTATACCTTCTTAAATGCCAGCCAACAACTCCATTTAGATTGATATTGCGATATGAGGGTTTGTCTGTACGCCGTCAATCATTCAAACGTACAGTGGGTATGAATGTTAGAAATGGTTTCTTGTAAAGTAGGGGCATAAGGCATCTTCCATTGACTTGTTATAAGTTGTCGTGGTGAGAATAGAACATGCATGACAATTAGACATGTCCGATTCCTTTTGTTCCGAATCGAAATTCTGACCCATTTCTGAGATTCGGATGTATCCGAATTCCGAATTACAGATATAACAAATTTCTTAGTGGTAGTCTGTACGAAATGTCATTTGTTGGACAAAATTTCATTGCAGCAAAGTGACATTTGAGAAAAAAATAACTTTTTTCCCTCTTAAATGTTACTTTGCTGCAACGAACGAAAACGAAATAAGAACGAATTTCGTTCAGATTACCAATAACAAATTTCGCCCGAATCCGAATTCCGAAGCGAATTGACTTTTGGACCCGAATTCCGAAAAACGAAATAACGCAAAATCCGAATCAAAGCTGAATGAAACAATTTTTTTGCTGGTGCACATGTCTAATGACAATAGGGGGATAATTCTTAGGGTATTTTTAAATGTCAGTGCTTAATAAAGCTAATTGTGGGGAAGGAGGGATAGTAATGCCTGTTAAAGTAGCTATTAATTTAAATACCTAATTCCACTAACCTCAGATGTTTTTTAATGACCATAGAATATGGAATAAATTACCTACTTGTCCACAATTTCGCCAACAATATGGTGAGTGTGAAGAGGATATTTTAGAAAGGTGAAAGGGTGTAAGATACCATCTAGTCATTATTTTATAAGAAATCTCCCAATGGGAAACACATTTAGAATAGAGGGCATTAGCTTTCAGAGCATAACTCCATTGTTCTATAGTAAATTGGGAAGATAAATCTATTTCCCGCTAGAGCATAGGCAAAAGTTTTTGAAAAGATGAAAAATTGCGTATGTCCCTATAACAAGGGGAGATAGTGAGCTTTCTAGAAGATGGGGAATTGAGAAATTCCCATAGTTTGCTAGGAATTTGTAAATCTGTAATTGATTTAGTAGAGTAAAAATTAGCAATCTGGGAATATCTGAACTGATCTATAAATGTAAGCAGTTGTGATATAGGAGGGAGAGTGGTATATCCTCTAGATCAGCGTTTTTCAACCACTGTGCCGTGAGATATTTTCGGGTGTGCCGTCAACTCCAACACTTTAATTTTTTGGTGTAACTGTATTTTATTTTGAAGGCATGTTTAAATACAATGAAATTAAAATTATTAAATCAAAACAATCTAAAATATAAACAATCAACGTCCCCCCCTCAGCGGGCCACGGTAAAATTATCAAACGTTGACCGGTCCGCGGCGATAAAAAGGTTGGGGAGCACTGCTCTAGATTGCTGTGCACATAGGTCAAGGAATAGGATAGCGAATTCATACACTTGTAAAGGAAATGGAAATGGAATAGTAGTAGAGAAAATAAAAGGGCCGATTTCATTGAGAATTGAGTTCCATACATAGATTGGTCCGTTTATAGTAGGGGAAATAGAGGGCTGTACCTTGTTATTTAATGGGTGCTTCTGATCACCACATATCAGTTCAATTTTGGGCCTCATCCCTTCTCTACTTTTGTTCTCTGAAACCTGATTGCAGCACAGTGCAGGAATCTATGACACATGCTGAAAGACATTGAGTGTGACCAGCTGCATGTTTGGATATCAGTTTAGTTATGTCTGAAAGTTGGGGAGGTATTGGTGACGCTGTACACTTCAATGTGTCATACACTTCATTAACACCTGTTTTTAGCAAGTGACAGGTAATATATGATATTTTGCTTTTTTACTGAGCAACAAGCTTTGTAAATTAAATGTTAACTTTGCAAGAGAAACATTTCAGGTATTAATGTAACGTCTAAATACTTCTTTTTAACGAACCTATTAATAATATCACATCTGAAATGCTACTTTTTAAACTACATTTTGTTAAATTAAACTGAACCTGCTATGAATGTACCTGTTCAGGCACATCCTGTTATAGGGTGACAACACTCTGCCCCCATCTCTCAACTGTGTTCCTGTGTTGTCTGCCTGTCACATGGCCTTGTGATGAAGACTACAAGTGCCGTTTCAAAACACACATTATGCAGTTATGGTCCATTGTGATAACTATCAGGAAACCCGCACCTAAGAAATGCCATGCTGCCCTTACTGAAGTGTATGCATGTAAAAAAGAAATGGCCGAAGGAGATTATCAGTGCAATTCTTTAAGATTCTCAGTGCTTTAGAAAACTAAATGTTGTTTAGTTAGTGTATACATTAATTACAATTATTGTATGTCCTAAATGTAGTCCTGTTATGGCATTCCCTAGTCTTGTCACACACCTCAAAATATTTTGTGGTAAACCTTTCATCCTTCATATGACATGTCAGAAGACACAAATTAAAATTGGAGATACTAGAAATTCTCATTGTTGGTGTGGCAGTTAGGGGGCCTGTTGCTTTGCCCTACATGGACAAACTACAAGTTCACTTTAAATAATTTGCTGCTCAGGATGCAAGTATACTTTACTTTTTACTATAGAAACATATCTTTGTGTCTACTGTTATTGTATTCCCTTTTGTTCAGCACAATAAGCTACAGTAAATGTGTATAGCTGTAGTAAATGTGATAAAGAAATGCTTTTCCACAAATTAGATAAATCTTGGGAGTCAGAAGCACAACCATTATTCTTTTATTATTGAGTGTCATTGGTACATAGAGTAGATACTGCAGTTAGTACACTTCTTTTGTTTGCTTTCTACGGCTTTCAATCATGCAAGTCCAGAAAACACGTTTGCACTGTATCTCAGATCTAAACTTTGCATATTGCAATACTTCTTATACTGAACTTTTTTTCCTTTACTTTTGTTCACTGAGTTGCCATCTTTTTATAGCAACTTAATGCTTTTATTTTAATGTAGTAGTGAAATTGTAATGTATAATAATCATTCAGTCTGTTGAGTACAGTTTACATAGTTTGAACTATTAGGGCAAATTATGCAATAACTTTAGAGTATAGTGTATAATATTTATTCTTGTGAAAGGCCTTTGATTGCCTACCCAACTCTCGCTACATTATTACTATTGTGTGGAGACAATCGTTTCCAGACTTGGTGCTTGTACTGCCTATCCATATATAAATATGTATAGGTAATTGTATCATGTGGATTGTCACTGACAAACAACTTGAATGGGCACAGAAACTGAATCTGTAAGGACACACATGGGATTCCTGCAGCAAGAATCCCCATCTGCAGCCTGAAGCCTCATGTAAATGGGACCTAAGACCACACATTAGCACTGCAACAATGTGACTGGGCCCTTACACATAAATAGATTGCCTGATGTCTGAAATTTTGGAATCTGCATTTTTAGTTGATTCTGCCAATTAATAATTGTCATACAATAGGGCTTACATCTAACACTGAAACCTAAGTTTGGCTTATAATTGGCCACATTTATCAAAGCATCTGAAAAAATATTGCATGCAAGAGGAGATTTATCAATTTTGTTATGGCAATGATAACTGGGAGCAGTGAGATAGATATTAGATAGGAATTTAGCTTAATTTATACATCCCTCCAACTATTGCTCTAAAGTAGCACTGGGACAATATAAAATCTGCCATTGACCTCTTCTTAGTTCTAAAATCCAGGACAAATTCAAAAATACCATTGTAGTGGGGCGCCCCCTCCCATGTATGGCCAGGGTAAAATGTTATTTTTGTCTACGGCAACGTTAAAAAGCAGCTTTACCTACTGTACCTTATCCTTCACTCCACCGGCAGCTGGTGATCTTTTCTTCCTTTCAGTGCTCTGGGTTGTGGGCAGGCCCTCACTGTTCTCACTTACAATGCAGGGCTAAGCATTTTCCACCCAGCTCCTTTCCACCTGGCTGTTCCAATTTTTCCTCCGAAGGATGTTGGGCAGGAGGTTGACGACAGGGCCTCCCACTAAGCGAATTTCAACGACTTCATCAAGAACTAGCTCAGTGTATGGCCATCTTTACAGCTTTTGTAATAACTCTTAGATTGTGTTTCTTTTCTTGTTTATTTCTTTTCACAGTCTTACATTGAGATTAATGATGTTTCATTTTGGTTAAATGTTTTTCTTTTAATACTATTTTTTTCTGTCTGTACCAATATCCATCCTACTACTTAATCTGATTCACTTTTCCCTCCCCAATGCCACATATTTCCTCTGGAACAAAAACTAATCTTTAGTATTCTTTGTAGCATATATCTTTAAAGTAAAAGTACTTAAACCCAATAACAAAAAAATGATATATTTGAGTTTACCACTCCTTAGTTGTGTTCATTTCCTTTTTTCAGGCTTAGCACATTTTCTGAACGTACATAAACATTTCTTGTTGATCCTAATTAAGAGAGCAGCCTAGGGTGACAGCATTGCTTCTCCACAGATTCAGTAAAGTAAGTGTTGTCACCCTAGGATAAATTGGGTAAGTGTTATCACCCTAGAATAAAGTGAGTAAGTGGTATCACCCTAGGATAAATTGGGTAAGTGTTGTTACCCTAGGATAAAGTGAGTAAGTGTTATCACTCTAGGATAAAGTGAGTAAGTGTTGTCACCTTAGGATAAAGTGAATAAGTATTATCACTCTAGGATAAAGTGAGTAATTGTTATAACCCTAGGATAGAAGTTGCGTTACTGGCAGGGTCACCAGGTAAAATATAAAAACAAAAGGCCTAAAAAAGGAAAACAAATTCAGCCACCACATCTACGAATTAGTACGCTGCAATGTATAAAATTCTAATTTTTGGGTTTAGATGCATTTTAATTATACACTTTCTATGCCGTAATTTTCACTTTATTGTAATTTTGTGTAAGATACAATCATTTAATTTTAGCATAATAGTTCAAAATGAATTAGGGAAGCAGTATATTCTTGAATTTTACCTCTCTGATTTCTCTTTATCTCTATTTTCATTTCAGACGGAGTTCATACTTTGACATGTGCACTGATGCTTTTAAACACGGACCTGCATGGACATGTAAGTTCAGCTGGCATTGCCAATATGGATGTATATTTTTGATGTTTAAACAAGTTATAATTTTGTTATTATAAAGTAAAATGTTAAGCCCCCTGATTTTACAGCTTACTTTGAACTACAGGTATAGCTTAAACGATCAAATCTAAATAAATAGGCTGTACTACTTCTATCTTCTCTCCTCCCCCTGTGCACTGTAATGCTTGTTGAGGGACAAAGCCCCAGTTCATCCTGCCTTTTCCTCTGCTCATTTAAACAAAATTGATTTATTTTTCAGAACATTGGCAAAAGGATGTCATGTTCAGAATTCATTGGAAATTTGGAAGGATTAAATGGAGGAAACGACTTTCCACGGGAGCTTCTCAAGGTAATTATTTCTAATTATTAGGTATTTTGAGAGCATTAGAATGTTAAGTGGAAAACATGTTGAACATTATGACTGACCACACAGTTCTGGCAAAAACTCAGTTTTCACAATTTGAACTGGTTTCCTGTTCTTTTCTAGTAGGAATTTTCAAAACAACTAAAAGGAGGGTCTGGTGAATTAAACACTCCTCTGTGCCTTACTGGCAAGGCCAGTACAGTACTAACCTAATTCTGATATCGACAATCTGTTTTTAAATAAATTGGGAAGTTCATTTTTATTGGCTGCATGTGTGGTTTAAAGGGAGATAAATAACTATGCTAGCAAGCCTGAAACCTTCTGAAAATGCAAGTACCCTGGCCATAATGATGCCTTGTGGCTTCACTGCTAATTGTCACTGACAAGAAGGATGTATTTAAGCTGAGAATTACAACTTCACAAGCTGCTTATGGGACAGTGACTCCCTAAATAGTGCTGAAAGATTAGCATGAAAGCCAGGCCAAATTGTGTTTTCAGATGGTTGGGGTATTAGTTTAAGCTTATCCTGAATGATGGTTTCACTTTAAGAGAACTAGTAAGTTACAATATATTTTTTTTTATGCTTGGAAAAAAAAATTGTCTGTATATTGAAGTCATAAAGACATATACACAACAAAGCAGATGGCCTTAGGGCTAGTGTACAAGGGCTCCTGAGATTAATTAAGGTCAGGTTTAGATTAGTTTGTGCTTTGCTTTTATTCCTCCATAATAACTCAGTAAAGATACTTTACTGAGAACAACAAATAAATAAACATCTCAAATTTCTGTGCACTCTAGTCCTTAGTACAGGTCACAGTGTTTGCCTGAAGAAGCGACCATTCTCGGTTCGGAAACATTGCTTTTTGCACTGCGTCTCAATAAAAGGCATTGTGCATGTTGGACCTTAATATACGTGGCGCCATCCGCAGGTCACACCAGCACCCACCTTCATATTGGGATTTCGGTCTGGAGTGCGGTGGATTTTGGACTACTAGCCTTTAGCTTGTCACATACCATTACAACCCGAACCGTAATGGTATGTTCCATTTGGAACAATCACCACCTTGTGGTGAAAGTGTGGGTAGAATATGCAGTGCTTGGTGCCTCAGCAACCAATAATCATGCCCAGGCATTTTAAAAGATTGGTATGGCTATGCAGATAGCAACCACAAGCAGAAGACTACATGTATAGCTGCTTTGGTAGGGTTCTAGGGAATGCTGCACTGTCAGATTTGATAAATGTGCATGGTGACAGCATAGCCTTTCAGTTTTTCCAGCTTTTTTGTACTACCAAGGTGGAGATCACTTCCGAAAAATATTAACACATTTTACCCTCCTGGTGGAGTATTGAATGCTGTGTTAACCTCTTGGCTTCTTGCATCTTTTGGGGACTTCACTATCTATGATGTAGCTATTGTCCCATTTTTGTCTACAGCAGGCACTGAAGGGAAGGAATTTCACCATTTGAGTCCCTGAGATATATAAAAAAATTGTTATATGGTTGAGCTCTACAGTATATCAAACTAAAATATCTGTTTTGGCTTGACTATTTGAAATCACATGCATGTACTGTATTTAACTAAGCGAAAATATTCTGTAATACTACTAGAGAATGTAATTTATATCTGATTATTTCATGTGGCTATTAACCAAACATTTATGAATCATAGTGCAAATGTTTTTCCACTGTTTGGAGGAGAGTATGGGTTGTGGGCCATGCTTCTATTTCCCCTTACAATTTGGCTATTCAGCCCTCCGGCTGAATATAACCGGCACAACTCTCACAAGGCTATATACCTTACTGCATTCTTTAACAGGGCTAGTTAAATGCAACATCAAAAATAGATAAGTATTCTATCTGAGATTAGGTGAAATATCAGTAAGTATGCACAAAATATTATTTTTTGGCACTTCAATACATTAAAATATATATTATTTTGTGTTTGTGTGCATCAATAACAATTTATTTGGAAACATCTCTTTTATAAACGTATGTGAAACTATGATAGGAAATACAAAATTAGCAGTTGCATATTTTTATCGTATAGGCCCTGTACTCAGAATGAGAGAGAGAGAGATCTTACATCAAATGTGCAAAGATTAGCTGCAGACAGTATTATTAGAACTATAAGCACATTTAGCCATGTGGCCCTGAAATTTGTAATACCACCCCTCATATATGGATCTAGTTGAATTTTATGGATACATCACATTTTTTTCTCCATGTTTACCTTGACATTTTTACAATTATGTACTTAAATGTAAACTAAACAGGGCAGATGTTCTCAAGTGTATTCCATTACACTTCTCCAAAGTGTTCTCCCAGTAAGATAGCAGACTGAAACATCAATACGTAGTATAAAAACATATGCCTTTGTAACTCTTGATGATGACTGTAATACATCTTTGGCAGTCAAGGGGTCAAGGCATAAAAGCATCTGTCTGGGATTTTGTGGTCAAAACCTGAACGGAGCTAAGAAAATGTGTGATTGCAAATGTATTAAATAAAACTTTCTTAAATTTGAAGAATTAAGTAACGAGGAAGTGCATTTTACATTGACCAATCTGTAATTTATAAAGCTAAATTCATAACAAAAAAGTAAACTATGCAATTAAAAGATATTGTGCAAATATGGATTAGTGCATTCTTGCAACAGATTCATTTGAATTATGTTTTAAGTACAGAATAGGACATGTAATAAAGTTATGTTTTGAAGTAAAATTCCACTTTTGTGGAGGGGGAAAAAAACTCCCTTTCCAGGTCAGATGTTTACATTGCAAGACTTTTGTCAGACTTTTAGATTTTTAAATTCTTAGCAACTTTTGTTGCGATTATACTTAAACAATAAGGATGTACAAATGGTAATCACATGATCAGTCCTAGTGTTGGAATTAGAGAAGCACTGTTGGGTAAAACAGTGAACCAATCACATGACTATAGTGAGGCACTATTTTGCAACCAGCAACTGTTGACAGTTAACACTTTGGTAAGGAGTACGTGATGTACAACATATTTTATGGAGTGCAGCTATCAGCAATATGTAACAAACAACATAGTGCATACAGTGCAGAGGTCACAAGCAAGGGTCCTCTTCTGTTGGTGTTGTGTGTGCTGCCTTACATTGGTGTTCAGTGGTTATTGTCTCTTCTTTTGATGGTGGTCGGTGGGAACTTAAATGTTTACTTGCCTTAGAGAAGTTGTAAAGGTCTTCAGCTCAGCTCCAGGGCCTGTTTACAGTGACATTGGGTTGGGACTATGCAAGCAGCGCCAGGTTGTATACCCTCTGACTGGAGCTGTCTTTACACAACAGAGAAAGTCACTCTGGCAGTCAAATTGGCCCTACCCCTGGTCTAGCGAGACTGCTACATTACTCACTTTATATTTAGATTTTATTATAAATTACCTTTCCATTTAAATCTGCAGCTAACTATAATTTACTAAATCTTCCAAAATGTTAATACAATGGCAACACTGTGGATGTCCTATATAGTACAAAACATCTCCACAAAACAAATTTCCTACCTGTGAGACTAGTAGATTACTTTTCCCAGAAGTTTGCACAGAGTGTCCAGTTTCAGATACCCCAGCACAAAGAATAAATGCAAAGGCCTGCTTCTATCAGGATAATTGTGCCAGATAGGAATTAGCATCAATGTCTTCTAAAAGCACTGCAATGTATATACAGGTGAAACTCGAATAATTAGAATATTGCGCAAAGTTCATTTATTTCACTAATGCAACTTAAAAGGTGAAACTAATATATGAGATAGATTCATTACATGCAAAGCAAGATAATTCAAGCCGTGATTTGTCATAATTGTGATGATTATGGCTTACAGCTCATGAAAACCCCAAATTCACAATCTCAAAAAAGTAGAATATTGCATACAATCAATAAAACAAGGATTGTACATAGAACAATATCGGACCTCTGAAAAGTATAAGCATGCATATGTACTCAGTACTTGGTTTGGGCCCCTTTTGCAGCAATTACTGCAATTACTTTTGCACAATATTCTAATTATTCGAGTTTCACCTGTAAATGGCCTAGAAAATATTTGTTTTCTTCTATGAAAGAGAAGTTTTATTTTTAGTGTTTAACCGTGGGGATACCTAGCTAAGAACTATAATTATATAATATGATTTTATTAGTAGTTGCATTGATCACCACCTATATAAATCCTGTATAATAATAATAATGTTGTAATTGAACCACATAGCAGGCATTGTACACAAGAACTGGATCACATACCACAGCAACATGCTCCATGCTGCAGCTCTGTATGGTCATGCATCTTGGAAGGAAATACATCTTCTTTATTAACAGGAAACCTGCACTGCAGTCTTCTTTAATCATAAAATGATGGTCTTAACTCCTTGCATTAAAAGAATAAACCGCAAAGTGCAAACAAACAAAATAAACTTCTTTAAAATGTGGCTTGGAGAATCACTGAGCTTTTCTTCATAGTGTCTAGATAGTGTACTGCTTTTATACCTGTTACTTAACCCATGCCACCAGTTGCATTCAAACTTTTGTTTTTTAACCCCTTCGTGACTGACGACGTACAGTGTACGAGTAAACACGCGAAAATAGCACTACAGTATTTGGAGCATGGTGCAGCATTCCAGCTACCTGAAGACGTCCTGTCTTTTAACCCACTTTTATAGTTGATGAATGGGCTTGGTATGTCGAGAAGTGGGACACCTTTGCTACCAGCAGAAACAGCCAGTGCTCAATATATAGTATATTAAAACATCAATCTACCAAATCTTTTTTGTGTAAATTGAGGAGTATGTGTATGCCAGTGCAAATATTAATGCACCTATCATTGTATATTTGAAAACATGTCATCAATATTACAATTTAATCATATACCTATAAAGTCCTTTCCTATGACTCTTTTCATTCTAATGTAATTTTTTCCGGCAGAGTTAAAATATTGTGTGCTCAAAAAAAAAAACTGGAACACATAGCATGGACAGA